ATAATAATAATAATAATAATAATAATAATAATAATAATAATAATAATAATAATAATAATAATAATAATTTTATATTATTACTAATAGTAGTATTAATTATATTTAATATTAATAGAAAAAGAAATTAATCACTATCTTATGAACATGCAGCTGAGTGAGAATACCTTTTGTGAATAAGGCTATGTGAGGTCTGCTCAAATGAGTGTGGAAAAAATTCAACTAACAGTGCTCCATCACCTTAAATAAAATTGGGTGAATACAGATCTCATTTAAGGTGTACTGGAAGCATGGAAAATGTCGAAATGTCTACAGATTTATCGAAACCAAGTTGCTCTTCGTGCATACGCATAAAGCGTGTCCGTGGCAGTGAGCCGGGACAACCGCATGAATGAGAAAATAAAAGGCAACAGACTGTTTCCCCCTTGCCTTCGTTATTTCCCATTTGCCCTGATTGTTGCAGTCCGACATGCAAGCTGAGGCATTGTGAACGCGCGGTATCTGCAAGCGAATGCGCTAGTTGGGGTAGGAGAGGCACGAAGAGTGGACGGACTAAATGCAGGCCCGGAGGCGTACGGGTGACACCACACCACGATGGAGCTTGCGAGCAGAGCGGAGCTAAGCTTTGCTGCCATGTGAAGCTGACTGTGGAGGCGTGACGTTCGAGAAGGTAGGGAAAAACAGGGCCCCGCACCGGCTGGCCAGACGACGTGTGCACGACGGGGGCTCGGCAGGTTTGACCAGGTCAACTCGACGATGTATTCATGTGACATGAGAGACCAGTTCGAATTGTCACTTGATCCGAGACGTAAGTATGTTCTTAACCCTTCATACTCGAAAATGGAGGATGCAGATTAAAATGATGCCAGGGCTAAAATCTAGCGGTACATGCGAAAAAAAGTTGGGTTTCATGGGATCTATTGGTTCATAGTTGCTGAGCTTACTGCCATTTCGAGTGAAGGTGTTTGGTGAAGGGATTCGAAAGTCGACCCCACCAGGAGAGAACGGGGCCAGTTGTTGATTGGCTCTAGCGAAACATTCTTGTTGAGGCTGGTTGTTTTTCTTGACTCGTCAGCTTGAATATAGTTGTGGGGATGATAACCTGATCTGATCTTCAACGAAATCGAAGGAGATTGCCTTGGAGACTGC